ATCTCTCTGTCTCTGTCTCTGTCTCTGTCTCTCTCTCTGTCTCTCTGTCTCTCTGTCTCTCTCTCTGTCTCTCTGTCTCTCTGTCTCTCTCTCTCTCTCTCTCTCTCTCTCTCTCTCTCTCTCTCTCTCTCTCTCTCTCTCTCTCTCTCTCTCTCTCTCTCTCTCTCTCTCTCTCTCTCTCTCTCTCTCTCTCTCTCTCTCTCTCTCTCTCTCTCTCTCTCTCTCTCTCTCTGTGCCTTCAGATCTCTTGCATTGTTGTCAACAGCGGTGAGGTTGAGTTTCCAGTCCGCGCTCGTCCTTGTCACCCTGGCGTGTGCGTGTGGCTTTTGAATTTGGATTCATCAGCTGAAGGGAGCAACACATTAAAAAACGAGAACACCTCTACTACAGGGTGCACACTTGCAAGGACACGCAGGCACACTCGCGCGCAGCCACACTCGCGCGCAGCCACACTCGCGCGCAGCTACATACTGACACAGAAATATACACATACCCGTCCATAGGACGACAGCCAAGTTACTCACATATGATACCCTCACGCACTCTGCCCACACACTTGAAAAGACGTGATCGGGCCTAAAGACATTGCGCTCCATAGAAAGAAAGGATAAAAAAATCGACCCACGGGCTAGCAGTGACTGCTGCCAGCTAGAAGTCCTGAATGACTGGCCCATAGAGCAACATGACACGGCTCAGTCCTAGCTGTTACCCCACAAGACCTGGTCAATGCGGTGAAGCCATCCATGTGCAAAAGCCACACTGGCGTTTGGCAGAATCTGCGCCGACTCAATCGTCAAAACGCCATCGTTCTCCTCCACACTGAGGACATCGCCGTTGAGCGCCACCAACTCGGCTCCACCTGTATTCAAGTCGTTAATGCTGTAGGTTCCCGACACAATGTGTCGAAACGCAAAGTCCCACATTGGGCCAGCCTCGTCCCCATTGGCTTGCAAAGCCGCGGCTTCTTCCGAGCTCAGCGCAGCAAAAGCGTCATTTGTAGGCACAAAAAGCGTGACGTTTGTCAGGTTCCGCGCCAGCTCAGACGCTTCGCTGCTGTTCAGCAGAGCCAGTAATCCCGCAAAGGCCGCCTCATCGTCCGCAAAAACATCCTCCAGCGTCGTTTCATGCGTTGATGGCCAGCTCAGGTTGGCCGGTAGCAATACCCGGTCGATCCGATGCACAAAGCCGTTGGCAATGACGATGTTGCCTTCAATCACACTTGCGTTTCCAACTTGCAACTCATCCGGGCCCCCAGACAACTCAAGCTCGGCACCGGTAGCCGTGACAACCGTGCTCATGTTGCTCAAGTCGGCCAGGCTCCAGCTCGCATCTGGTACGACATGCAGTGCTAAAATTTGTCGCAAGGTTGTCAAATTCGTCTCGCTGAGCAGTGCCTCCATCATGCCCTCGTCAAACGCCGCCGCGATTGCCTCGTTTGAGGGCACAAAAAGCGTCACGTCGCCCAAACTGGACACTGTTTCCAACAACGAACCCATGTTGCTGACATTGATCAAGGTCATCAACCCGGCAAAGGCTGAGTCAGATTGCAGCAAGGCGGCCGCCTCGATCGTTGGCATGCTCAGGTTGGCAGGCAGTAATGCTTGGTCCACGCGATGGACATAGCCGCCGACAATCAAAACATTTCCCTCCAGAACGCTCGCATTGTCAATGCTCAGATTCCCGGCCGACCCCGTCAGTAGTAAGCTTGTTCCAGCAAGCGTCTCAACTTCAGACCGGTTGCTCAACTCGCCAATAGACAAACTCTCATTGATGATGTGATGCGCCATAATTGTGCGGAGCGTTGTCCTGTTCTCCTCCTGCAGCAAAGAAACAAAGTCCAGGTTGTCAAATGCTTGCTCAATAGCGTCGTTGCTTGGCGCAATCACCGTCACATTGGCCATCGTGCCCACCACAGTTTCCAACCCACTTGCAGACAAAAGGGCATAGAACAACGAATAGTCGGAATCAATCGCCAACAACAAGTCAGCCTTTGGAATCGGTATGCTCATATTGGGCGGTAGCAGCACTTGGTTGATGCGGTGCAATAGCCCGTTTGTAATCTCAATATCGCCTTCCAGTACAGTTGCATTGTTGACCGTCAAATTGCCCGGGCCACCAGCCAAAACAAGCGGTGCGCCACTCCAAGCGGTCACTTGGGACATGTTGCCCAGTTCAGCCACGGAGTAGCTCTCATTGATAACGTGCATACGTAGCACTGCGCGCAGCGTTGTCAGGTTCTCTTCCGTCGTGAGATAGTACCATGTATAGTCGTCGCCAAAGAAGGCGCTTATCGCCGCATTCTCGGGAACTAACAGGGTGACATCGCTGAAGTTGGCCAGCTCGCTCAAATCCTCATCTAAGCGACTGGCGTCCATCAGGACCGTCAGTGCTGCGTAGTCGTCATCCAAGGCAATCAAGAGCGCAGCGTCCGGAACTGGTCTCGTGTAATTGGCAGGCAGCAAAACTTTGTCGATCCGGTGGACAAACCCGTTCACAATCTCAATATCACCCTCGACAATGCTCGCATTGTCTACAGTGAGGTTGTCATAAGCACCAGCAAGAGCCAAAACTTCCCCACTTGCTGCCACGGTGTAATTTAGCGCGCTCATGTCAGCAACAGACAAGCTCTCATTGACCACGTGTGAAAGCAGGATCTGATGAAGGGTTGTCAAATTATCCTCGTCAATCAGGTAAAATAGCGTGACCTCATCCAGAGTCTCAGCCAACGCCTCATTGGTTGGAACAAAAACAGTAACGTCAGAGTAGAGAGCAATATCCCGCAGCAGCTCGGTCATATTGAGCAAGCGACTGGCATTGTTGAACCACAGCTCGGACGCCACGAGTGCAAAAATATCCACGACACCCGAGGTGGATGTTGAGGTTGAGGTGCTCGTGGAGGTACTAGTTGAGGTACTAGTTGAGATAGAAGTTGAGGTAGACGTTGAGGTGCTCGTGGATGTACTCGTTGAAGAAGAAGTTGAGGTACTCGTGGAGGTACTCGTGGACGTGGATGTTGAGGTGCTCGTTGAGGTGCTTGTTGACGTGGAAGTTGAGGTGGAGGTACTCGTGGAGGTACTCGTGGAGGAAGACGTTGAGGTGGAAGTGGATGTTGAGGTGCTCGTGGAGGTACTCGATGAGGTACTCGTTGACGTGGATGTTGAGGTGCTCGTTGAGGTACTCGTTGAGGTACTAGTTGAGGTGCTTGTGGAAGGTGCTCGTGGAGGTAGAAGTTGAGGTACTCGTGGAGGTGCTCGTTGAGGTACTTGTTGAGGTACTCGTCGAGGTGTAGGTGGATGTTGAGGTGCTCGTTAAAGTACTTGTGGAAGTACTCGTTGAAGTACTCGTGGAGGAAGACGTGGAGGTGCTAGTGGAAGTACTAGTGGAGGTATCAGCGCTGGATGTGCTCGTAGAGGAACTGGTTGAAGTACTCGTTGAGGTGGAGGTGGATGTTGAGGTACTCGTGGAGGTACTCGTGGAGGAAGACGTTGCAGTAGTGGAGGTACTTGTTGAAGAATTTTCAGTCGAGGTGCTGGTCGAGGTGCTGGTCGAGGTGCTGGTCGAGGTGCTGGTCGAGGTGCTGGTCGAGGTGCTGGTCGAGGTGCTGGTCGAGGTGCTGGTCGAGGTGCTGGTCGCGGTGCTGGTCGAGGTGCTGGTCGAGGTGCTGGTCGAGGTGCTCGTGCTTTCAACTCCCTCAAATAGCAGCTGTTCCAGCGACATGCCACCTGGAACAAGAAGCTTGTTGATCCCGTGAGCAACGCCGTTGACGAGCTGCAGATTTGGCTTCACGATAGGAATGTCGTTGACAAAAACGGTGCCGTTGGCATTCTCACTAAACTGCAGTTGACGGCCCTCTAAAGTCGAGGCTTGCTCCATTTCTACCAGCTCCGAGCTGAAAAATGCGTCCTCCATGTGAAAGTGGTAGGCAACAACGGTTCTGAGGATGTCTGTATTTTGAGGCTCGAATAAAGCTAGGAGAGTTCTGGTGTTGAGTGCTTCGAACGCGGTTTCGCTCGGCAAAAACACGGTGATGCGGTTCTCAGCAGCCTGATCATAGAGCCTTGCCTGTAGAGAGGCGAGTGTAAAGGCACGATAGCGATCAACCATGGCCATGAAGCGCGCAATGTCAAGATCAAACTGTTGTTGCGTGATGACGACGTCAATCGCGTGGATGTAGCCGTTCAAAGCTGAGATGTTGGCCCTTACAATAACCGCCTCGTTGATACGGATGTTGTTGCCAGAAAGCGTCACGTGGATGAACGATGCTTGGTCCAAGGGTTCAAGGAAGCGAGGTGCAATGCCCTCAAGGTCCGCTGTTGAGAGATTGCGCGGAACGAGATGGCGGAGCAACAGTGCTTGCAGTTCATCCTTATTTTCTGGCTGGCGCAGGCGGTTGAGCTCTGCGCTGCCCAGTTCCTCAAAGGCATTGTTGGTGGGAGCAAAAAGGGTGAGTGGGGAGCCACCGCTCGTGCCCAACAGCCCATCAAGATCTGCCGCCAGAACGAGCGATTCCAGCAGGCTAAAGTTTCCATTGTTGGTTATAGTAGCATAAATGGAATCATTGTCTTCCTGCGAGGGGCGGTCGAGATGCCATGACAATTACGTGGCGACAAGGTCTGCGTGAGACTGAGCCGGAGGGAGGTGCGGCCGAGTCTGAAAGATGTAAACAAAATTAAAGGGGGGCGCGTGGGGAAGGACGGCGGTGGCAGATAGCATGTACCTCGAGTTGATCGATGGTTGAGGGGAGAAGAACCTCATCCAACTCATGAACGTATCCATTGCTTGCCAAGATGTTGGCCGTCACAATGTTGGCACGGCCGAGTTTCAGGCCCCCGTCTTCGTTGGAGCTGGCCATGACAGTTTGTCCATCCACCAGGGTCTCATAGGGGCCTGGGTCTTGTTGCAGGGCTGCCTGAGAGAGATTGCGGGGGACAATGTGTCGTCGCAAGATGTCTCGAAAGCCATCAATAGTACTTGGGTTTGCAATGCTTTCAAAGTCAGCCGTGTCAAGTCGCAAAAAGGCATTGTTATTCGGCGCAAAGAGCGTGACGGGATTGAGACCCGTGGCCTTGAGCTCCTCGCGCAAGTCAGCAGCTTCAAGCATAGCTGCCAGAATGGAAAATTGCTCGCGTTCGCTGATTGTCTTGAAGACTGAATACACATCGGGCTACCCGGATTGTTCAAAGCCAAAAAAGGAAGATGAGGCGCAGGTGTCAGCACGATGCGAGGCAGGTTGTCAGGCCAGCTGTCATGACCCACCTGAAAGACAGGCACAGGTGCTTGGCCCGCCTCTGGGGCCCCCTCCCTGGAGGGCCAGAGGACGGCGTCGATTTCGTGAACAATACCGTTGTCTGCCTTGATATTCTTGTTGATGATCAACGCCTCGTTGATGTAGATGGTGTCTCGATTGAAGACTCGAAGGCGCAGGTAGGAGCTGTTGGCCTCTGTGGGAAGCGCGCCAACAGCACGCTTGAGGCTTTTGAACGTGAGCCGATCATGAACGACATGAGCCAGCAACAATTGTTCAAGTTGATCCCGATTCTCAGAACGGGCGAGCCGATCAAGCTCAGACTGCCCGAGCGCCAGAAGAGCTGCATCATTGGGGGCAAACACAGTCCCTTGGTCCAGGCCAGAATTCTTCAGCAGTGACTTGAGATTGGCTCGTTGCAGCAAGCCGGCAAATAAACTGAATCGGTCTCGGACCCGAAGCGTCTTGAACAAGGAGTACGTCTGCGCCTACAAGTGCAACGAATAATAAGTGAGGAGCCAGACGCACTGAGCCAAGAAGCAAAATGACCAGTGACGCGAGGGTCACACACACACACACACACACACACAGAGAAAGACACACAGAAAGAGAGAGAGAGAGGGAGACAGGCAGAGGGGGGGGACAGGGAGTTGCAGCATTGCTTACACAGTCATATCCCTCGTCATCCGCTTGATCTGTGCAGTCCTGCCAAATTTTCACGCACAGCCAGGTACACCGCCAAAAGTGGGCGTGAGCGATTGTGCGTGTGAAGCTGGTGCAAAAACATTTGACCGGTTTTCAGGCGCTTTGGATGACCATGGTAAGTGCTGTGGTCGTCCCCCAATTTGCCTTTTCTTTCAAAAAGCAAAATTCAAAAACGAGTCGCAATCAGTCAAGGCAGCAAAATTTGGAGCTTTGGTGGAAGAGTGTCCTTGGATGTTTACGTTGGGCCACGAGGGGCGAGCAGGCGGCACCAGAGGTGGGAGGCATTTTTTGTTTTCTTGTGCTGTTGGTCACAACGTGTCTGTTGGCCGACTGCCATCGAGAGACACTCACCGCCAGTCCAATGCTTGGTCCTTGGGCGAGGAGGAGAAGGGCGGCGAAGAGCAAGGATGCGTGTCTCACGGAGATGAAGGCGCGCATGCTGAACGGTCAAGGCAATGGGATGTGCCTAGCCGGTGGGTCTGAGTAGACATGAAAATGCGTGACAGACGCTCGCCGGCTCCATCGACCGTGACAGGGCGCTTCTGCTGTTGCTGCGCAGGAGCCGCCTTTGAGCCGGCAGAAGTGTGCGGCGCATCTGAAACACGCTCCTCGAGAAGCAAACGCCAGACAGCTTCGGGCAGCATCTTGGATCCATGCTTGCTCTCTGCTTCCTCAGGGGATGAAGACGCGTGGAGAATGGTTCTGCTTTGTGACACGGAGCCAAGTAGGGCGAAGTAAGGTGCGACTGCAAAGGTGCCTCCATGGCGACAAAGAGTCGCAGGCTCGTGGGGCTTGGAGCTCGCATGGATGAGTGAGAAGGTGCTTGTTGACATCTTGCGCCTTTCGCGCTGTGCAGTGCGCATCACGGCGACAGGTGCCAGCCAGGGGAAATTCATCGCGTCCCACAGTTTGGTGGGCTTGTGACAGGCGGGCAAGCTTTGCGAAAGGAGGCGCAGCCCAGCTGCAGCAGGTACAGGTACTCGAGGGAAGAGGGCGCGACTTGATCTTGATTGGGAATGTTGCCACTGCCCGACACCTGTTGGGGTTTTTGGGTCACGGTGCCCGGTGAGTAAGGAGAGAGTCTTTTCAAGCGGATACGACGCAAGCAAGACGGAAATTGGGGACGCGTTCGGTGCAGTACATGGCCGGAAAGCTGGGAAGGGCTCCACATGAGTGAGTGAGCAAAGTAGCCGCTCAACTACATGTGGGGTTTGTTTTGATTTACAAGTTTTTGCAACGGCAAGCCCGTAGAGCTGTGACATCCCGTCGCCGGAGGTTGTCCGGGGTGGAACCGACCAACGCAGTCATGGATGTCATGGACGCGCCCAAGTCAACTCCTGTCCGCCAATCGGAGGTCAGGAGCAGGGACACTCACGAGATGTGCGCGATTGTGGCAGTGCAGAAACCACAAAAAAAAAAAAAAAAGCAGCCATGCGTGCATGCAGGCATCACGACCTTGTGTTTGCAACACATGTTTCGTGCTGTACTGTTGTGAAAAGGCGTTGAGATTATCTGTTTCCCCTTTCGTCTGACGCACCGGTTCAAAACAAAAACTCTGACCACAGCTCGTCGAAATCGCTCTCTCTCTCAATTTACCTTGCATTTCCAACCTTGCACGAAACGCGCTTTTCACCCCCTCTCTTCCAAAAACACCTCCGCCCTCCTCTCTCTCTCTCTCTCTCTGTCGCGATGGCGGCCATCGAGCTCGAGTTGGTGACGTACGACGACGCCAAGGCGTTTGCGGCGGATGTGCGCCCCTTTCTGGAGCAGGCGCCGGAACGGTATTCGGGATTGCTGTCGCTGCTGGAGGATCTGGAGACGTATGATACCCTGCCCAGCACCTGTTTTCTGGGCCTGGCCACGACGGCGAGCGAGGGTATCGCCGCCATTGCCTGCCAACTCTCTCTGTGGCATGGCGTGCAGGTCGTTGCGAACGAACGCTACGGCGATGACGAGGTTAGATCCCTCGCTCTGGCCCTGTTTTACGCTTCCCCCGGTTGTTGCCCACGACGATTCTCGTCAAGGTGCAATCCTCGCCTGACCCTGGCATGTGTTACACACAGGTGATTGACATCTTCAAGATCATTAGCGACACCATGCGTCAAGAGCGCGTAAGAGACGCCCCAGCACCACCACCATCACCCGCGTCTGCCACCCATCTGCCCCCCGTCTGCCCGTCCTTGCTCCACCTCCTCTCCACATCTTGTCTCCCCCGTTTCCTCCTTTTTTTTTTCACATCCTTTTCAGCTGCTTCTTGCTCACCAACCAAACCTGGCGCCTCCTCGTTGGATGGCGATTTTCCCTCCACCGTGCAGATGAACATTGCCATGGTCTGGGGCACCGATCGCGACGCCAACCTGTTTGCCCACGCCATGCAGGAGAGCTCTTGGGCTACCGGCTACCGCAAGTTTCGCAACGTACATCTCCATCAACTGGGTGAAGCCGGTATCCTGACCCCCGAGCACCTGGTACCCGGGAGCATGGAGCTCGCCACAATTGACGACGTACAGGAATTGGCCCGTGACTACCGCCACCTGGCCGCCGAAGTCTTGGGGGCAGCCAGTACCAGCATGAAGCCAGAGGAATTTGAGAACAGCCTCAAACACTGGATCGGCCGCAACATGGCCTACAAATACGTCTATCATGGCCACACGGTGGCCTTGGTCACCGCCGCCCGCTGCACCGGCAACCTGTGTCAGATCAATTGTGTCTTTACCGTACCCTGCTATCGCAACCGAGGTTTCGGTGCCATGCTGCTTTACGAAGCCGTCTCCCACCTCACCATGGAGCGCGACTTTACCAATGTTCTTGTTCGCTCCACCGATGACGTCACGAGCCGCTGCTACCTCCAGCTCGGCTTTGAGGTGGTGGCCCTCCTCGCCGGATACCTGATCCAGATCTAAAGTAGCCCCGCAAGAGCAAAGCTAGTGCGGTTATGGCAAGACGGTGTGCTGTCATACTATCCGTCTGTCACAATCTTGCTGGCCGCGTTCTCCTTTTCTTTCTTTATTTTTTTTTTTTTTTTTTTTTGTTTATAACCCCCCTTTTTTTTTTTCTGACTGGTGACCGAATCTGTGGCGGCGCAGACCTACCCTTGGGTCGTGCCGCAGCATCGCCAGATTGTTTCGTCGCCATACCTATCTATTTGTAGCAAGTTCGTTATCTTTTTCACTGTCTTTATCCAAGTGTGCGCCTGTTCGCCATATGCTTTTTCTTTGTCACTTCAGGTCCTCGGCAATTTTTTTCCATGTTTTGTGGTCGTCCTTTTCCTTTTCATGTTCGCCTCGGGGGCGGGTCCCTCTGCTGTGGCTGTCAGGCACCACGCACATCCATTTTTTTGTGGTGTGTCTTTTGCGTGCTCTGTGTGTCTGTGTCTGTGTCTGTGTGTCTGTCTCAGTGTCTCTGTGTCTCTGTGTGTGCTGCCGTTCATCATCGCCCATTCTCTTGAGTGCTGGATGCCGTGCTATGGCCGTGTCCAAGGATGAGCATTCGCTCGTCCCCCAATCTAGACGTGTCAATCAGAATGGTCCATTCATGGTCTTAATTGCGCGTCGCACAACTTCAACTCGGCGTGCAGCAGCACGCAATGCAGCAATACAGTCAAGTGACCACAGGCCAAAAACGGTTTGAGAGCACCGTCATCCAACCAATCTGCCTTAACCAAGGAAAAAAAAACAATCGAGAGGTGGTAAAAACTTGAGAACCCAAGGTCGCAGTCAGCAAGCACTCCAACCCAACATTCAAACACACGAGGGCATAGCTGACACGCTGCGAGCGTATCAGGTGCCAAAGTAACGAGCGCTAAAGTCAATGGCCGTCCCGCTCACACAAATGCCCGAGGCAACAATGTGCACCTTAGGATGAGCCTTGAGAATGCTCTCAATACCCGAACGCGTGGCAAAGAGGTTAAGAATGACAATGTTCGACTCTGGCGCGCCATTGCTGATCAAAACCTCCAAAGCCCGCAGCAGTGTGGCTCCAGAGCCTGAAAGGGTTTAGGCAGCAGTCACACAGCAGGAAGGGATGCACAGGCTGTGCGTGAGGTACAAAGACTGAGAACTCCTAAAATATGAAAAAAACAGTGGTGGACCATCCTCTCAACTTTTCCCAAGTCTTCTCCCTGGGCGTCTCTTTGACAGAGCATGCAGCATGCTGCATCCAACATACCAAGCACGGCATCTAAAAGAAGGATGGTCGCACTGTTGATGCGTGAGGGCAGATGTGCGTAGTACAGTCGTGGCTCATTGGCCGGGGCCGCTTCATCGTGACGAATCAAAATATGGCCCGTGGCCACAGACTTGAGGCAAGCCCGAAGTCCCTGTTCCATGGCTTGGCCTACAGGCGACCAAGACCCGATGAAAACAAGCCCAAAGTGAATAAGAATCAAAGGGTGCACCCGCGTCAAGAAAGACCGGAGGAGTTGGTTGACAGAACCATGACGTACCGCCGCGCATGATGCTCACACCGACAGGCTCCGTGGCCAGCTCAAGGCCATCAAACGCATCACCTGTGTATTCAAAAGGGAGAGCGCGCAAGAGAGAGCGAGGGTGTGTGTGTGTGTGAACAGGCGCGGAACCAGATCAACGCTTGAGACAGGAGGCGACCACGCACCAAGAGGCGTCTTGACCGTTTTCTTGCGCATCTTCAAGTGTGAGAGTCCGGTCTCAATAACAAGGCGAATCTATAAAGGCCCAGCACAACCAGAGTAAGGCACCAGCCCGCAAAACAAGAAGGAGCCGGATCCTTCTTGCCCCTTTCCACAGAGAGGACAAGACTGACCAGGCGCTGGCTGTAAAACTCAAAGTCGGTCCCGGTGCAAGAGCTATAAACCATGTGACGCAAAACGACAATAACACGTTGTGAGACACGACCGCACCAGCCTGACGGCTGAGCCAGCGGGAAGCGAAAGCCAAGCCAGGCAAGCAAACAAGAGCAGACGTACGTGTCGAGAAGGTAAGTCTGGAGCTCACGCACGTTGTCACTCTGCGGCAGCAGAAAGACCTGCGGCCCCAAGGCGCCTTCTTCAACCTATGCAAACCACCACACACACACACACTTTGTGAACAAAAGTGTCCTTTACCCGAGACCGCCAAAGCCAACACCAGCCTCAGAGCCTCAGGGAACCAGAGCTTCAGAGCCCCAGAGCAGAGCAAAGCAGAGCAGAACAGAGCAGAGCCGAGCAGAGCGTGCAGCAGCAACGTACCGTATCCATTCTTGCTCTTGGTGATCAAATTCCAAAAAAAAAAAAAGTGCATGTGTGTGTGTGTGTGTGTGTGTGTGTTGTCATCCTTTTTCCTTTTTTTTTTCCTTTTTTTTTCCTTTTTTTGCTTCTTTTTTTCCCTTTTTTTTTCATTTTTTTTTCTTTCGTACGAGTATCAGGGTTGAGAGCTGGCTGGCTTGATTCGAGGATCTGCTTTTTCTATGCAACCAACAGAATGAACAGAGAGGGAATGATAGAGTGTGGCTATTACGAGAGGTGGAGCACATCGTGGTGCTGTGAGGCTTCGGCGATTGCTCAAGTTAACAAACTTAGGGCTCCAAACTCAACTATTGAAGCTACAGGGCTGTTATCAAGCAACTGGTTCACCAGACCGTACGCATGTTTCTATTTCGTCTTCGTCTTCGAGGAGGGGGGTTTTTTTTTGGAACAGTCAGGCAGTGCATGATACATGGTTCAAAATTCTTCAATTAGACAAAGTGAGGACATGACATTGTTTTTTTTAAGAGAGATGATGTTTCCTCTATATTGCCAGGTGTGCCGTGCCGCATGCCACCCAGTGGCTAGGCTCTTGACAATCGAAAAGCCGTAATTCGTTCTGCTACTGCAGCCCGCACACACACAAAAGAGCTCACACAAGATTATCCGTGCTCAAGTCGTCGCCCGCTTCGTCCATGTCATCGTCAGCTTCCTCCACCTTGGCTGGCGTGCCAGGCACCGTCAAAGGCTGCCCGGTTACAGCGTGGCAAGAGAGCGTCTTGCGTCGTCGATAGAACAACATGTAGCTCTCCGTCGTCTTTGAGCAAATGGCACGGCAACAAGGTAAGAACGACTTCCAAAAATGCAGCCCAGGCAAGGCGGCAAGGGGTCAAGGCGTACCACAATCTGGTTGGTGCGCATGGGCGTGACCCAGGCATCGTCATAATCACACCACGCGCCCGACTCATCCAGGGCATATGCCGTATCTATATAGTGCCGCATCCAATACCCCGCGTCAGTGAGCACTTGCCACAGCCAAAAAGAGCAAGTTCACGACCGCTCACAAAGCAAAACTCACAATGACCACCACCGTAGCCACCAGAGTGGTTGGACACGGCAAAACAGTCGTAGATGGCTCCCTCACGGTGCTTGGGCGAGAGCACATACGGAGACATATCCAGCCCCTCCAGCGGAAACTCCACAAGCGTATCAATCTTGTCACGATAAAAGCTATTACAGAGCAGCATGCCACAGCGTCATCAACAAGCCACGGCCAACCGCCCAAGCGAGGCCGACATGTGCGCGCGAATCAACAGGTCGCAGTTCCTTTGCTAGGCCGTACTCGGAATAGGAGAATCGCTTGAGGTGAACAACCATATTGTCGGGCAACGACCAAATTTCCATCTGCTTATCTGCCTCGCGATGCTCTTTACACTCAGGACAGTACCTACGGAGTCAAGTCGTGCTTTTGGTGAGGCGCGTGTTCATCTCGCCAACCGACAGGCGTGCGGCAAGTCTCGTACCACGTGTTGTCAGCCGTCAAGCGTTCTTTTTGAATGTAACGCTCAACGCACTCGCGCAAGGACACGGACGCGGCATCTCGCTCATCCACGTTGTTGTGTTTGTTCTTTCGCGCTGCTGTATAGGACACGTGGCTTGGCGCGGACTCGGCCTGGGTCAAGACAGCTTCGGTTGACAGCAAGTTCTCCTGTATTTCGAGACCACAGAACAGCTCGTCAAAAGGCGGTTGGGCCAGAAAGGACAACAGTCGAGGCGAACGCAAAAAACAGGCCATGGCACGTGCTTGATCCTTTGATCAAATACAGGACTGCTGAACCAGAAGCGAAAGCCAAACCTACCGCATCTTCTCGCTCCCAATAAAGCTGAATGACGTGACGTTTAATGTCGACGGGCTCATCCGTGTCCAAGTCCAAACTCGGGCCCAGCCGCGAGTATGTGCTGGTGCGTGATTCCGAGCTGTACACCTCAAACAATTCGGTGACGGCCGGCCGGGGTGGCTGTGACTTGAAGGGTGCGGCCGCTTTCTCAACAACTTTCGAGGTCTCATTGCCTTGAGCAGGAGCGTTGGCGGCTTGAACGTTGGCTTGAAGCTCGCGATCGAATTCGTCATCGCTGTCCTCGGCATCTTCCCTGGTATCCATACTGGGCGCGTCCTCGTTCTGGCCCTCGCTCGCGTCCTCCTCGTCGGACGACTCTGGATGAGATGGAGCATAATATTGCCTGTGCAAAAAAAAAACAAAAACAAAAATAAAAATAAAAAAACAAAAAAACAAATAAACAAAACATAGTTGAGGTTGAGGCAAAATACAAGCCGGCAAAGGTCGGACAACTGCAAAGAGAGGAGTGAATTTGCCGATCCAGTAACTCACGAGGCTTTGTCAGCTATGGCTGCCAACAGCTGACGACCCGTTGTGTCGGGGCCCGGGCGAATCAAAAAGGGGAAACCCGTGGTCTCCATGGCCGCGGCATACGACGTGCTATAGTACGAGCTGGTAAAGGCGCGGCCCTGGCGCATGTGGTACACGGGAATGACCTCATCACTCCAAGAGGCGCCCTCAAGCGGCGGCACCTCAAAAATCGCCTAGAGGTGCACAGCATGTGTGAGCTGCTCGCCACAAAACAGCATGACCACATCCATGGGATTGGGAGGGACGACAATCATGCAAGAGGGGCGGGCGGCCCACGAACAACGTCATCGCCGTTGGTAATGTTGCCCATGGTGTCGTGTCCGTCAAAAATTTTGTAGAAGCGCGAATGATACAGGTCTGTGGCCACGAGCGAGCGAGGCTCGACTGCGGTTTCCTCAGCCACGGCGGCAATCATTTCTCGCATAGTGCCCGATTTTGCTGGCAGCTCGACGGTGCACTGTGGGCAGATAGGCGTGAGCCATGGCCAGGCAAGTGTGACACAGACGTCATAAACGGGATAGGTCACCCATGGAAAAACAAACAAACAAACAAACAAACAAACAAACAAAAACAATTGGGCTGGGGGCACACAGGCAGGGAGGACACGCGATCAAACCTTGGCTGGGGCGCGCCGAGGGTCCGCAAACACGACGGTGATAGTGAAGAAGGTCGTGTCCAATTCTGGAATGGGCACGGAAAGGTACATCATGGGATCAAAGGTGACGGAGATCTTGTTGCACTCTGGGCAGTTGAGGGTGGACTTGATTTGCCCTTGGAACAAATCTACAATGATTGAGTCGTTGCGCAGCAAGTGCCGTGTCCAAGCTTCGCGTGCTGCAGTCACATCCTCACCCTCGGCCTAATGGGAGGCATGAATCAGCAACGTCAGAGTGACAGCAAGGTGAGACTATTATAGGCGGCATTCGAGAAAGGGCAAAAAGACGATGGACACCGTGCGCACGACAGGTGACACAAGAACATAGGAAGGTCCACGAATATTGAGGCTTTGGGGACGAAGCGCAGACGCGCGAGATGCATGCGACAACGGACCTCCTTCGCTTCAACAAAGGGTTTCTTTTGAATGCGATTCAGATCCTCGTGAAGGCCGTCGAGCAGGAAGGCGGTCAGCTCCTGGGAGTCGTGCTGTTGATATCCGCTGAACTGTGGAGCAAACTTGCTGATGGTATCCTTGAGATGCCACGGCGAAACATCCGCCTGTGTGGCGGACCACAGCTTTTCGAGTAGCTCGGCATAAGCTTCGGCCAGGTGCCCATCGCAGCCAATCGGATTGTTCTTGTTCAAGTCCTGTTGCCAGCGCCCGGAGAGAAAGAACTGACGCAGGTCTGCACAATGGCTGAGGCACTGCAAGGCCGAGTTCATGAAACATGTGTTGCCCAGATTGCGGAGGCCCGTGCGTCCAGGCAGGATGGGCTTGTTCGAGGCGCGGCCATATGAACCACCATAAGTGGAGGTGCCGTAGTTGGAGGAATAACCGTAGGAGCGGTTCGTGAGGGTACTGCCCGGACCGTAACCAGAGCCGGTGCCATTGGCATATGAGGTGCTGCTAATGCCACCACTGGAATTGTAGCTGGGAACTGCGGCGACCGTCTGGCCAGAGGAAGAGCTGGGAGCCGGGAGAGCGGCGCGAGCCAAGTCAGAGGGCCAAGCGCTGTCCGGGCTCTCACGCCACTCAACCACCTTGGGAAGTGCTTGGTTTAAAATATTGTGGCAAAGCATTTCATGGGCATCCTCCTGATCCAATCGTTTATACCTAGGCCGAGCAAGCATCAGGGCAACCAAGAAAGGCACATTGAGTCGCGGTGAGCAAAGAAAGTGTTGTTGGCCAGTCGACCTGGAGAGGTCGTGGGCGTATCGTAGTGCGGCAAAATCGAGAGCTGCGCCAGCGGCCAACCTACCATTGGCGGGCCTGATACTCCCACAAGCGTGCTTCGACGGTGCCTGGAACATCAAACTGATCGAGGATGGCTGCCTTGAGGTCGGTTACCGTCTTGAGGCGCGAAATGCTGAGATCCTGCAATTTTGACTGGATGTTGTCATTATCTGTAACGGCCGCCACTCGAAATTTCAGGGGGTGGGTTTCCACCTGCAAACACCGAAGGTGAGCAGAGCAGCCAGAAACCAAGCAAATCAGGTGCGAAACGGCAGAACAACTTCTCGACACACCTTGGGACGGTTGTTTGCGTCGAGATAGACGGGGCAAACAAAAATGGCGGCTGGATCGTCCACACCGTACCAGGAGCGCAGGAGCGAAAAGGCCTCCAGGTTGACCTCGGCGGCGAAGGCCTGTGCCTGTAGCTTCCTGGTCTTGGCTAGAGAGCGCAGCACAAGAAGCGGGAGTGGATAAACATCAGAGAGATGCGCGAGGCAAGCTGCTGCGCATTGGGTCATTATTTTTTTTGTTTTTGTTTGGGAAGGACCAGGGATAGAGGACAAGAGGACGAACCATCCATCAAGCTGGACATGGGGATGGGGGAGGCCGGAGGCATGGAGGTCTTGCCCGCCAGGAACTCTGTCAAGGCCCGATGCCAGACAAAGGGGAGCAGTACGCTGTCGGATAGCAAGGCTGTGAGATGATAAGCCTGCCGAGGGTAGCCTGAGCCCGAGGTGAAGCAGGCATTGCTCATTGGCGAGCACACACACACACACACACACACACACACACACACACACACACACACACACACACACTTGACGCACACACCATTCCATGCCAGTCTTCCAGTCGTCCTTCTTGATGAAGGCCTCGTCATAGAGACGTTGCTGCTGAGCCTGGGTGGGAGCAGCAGGTTCGGCGCCATCATCCTGGGGTAGTCCGGTGTTCATGGCACTGGTGCTGCAAGACAGAGGAGAGCTGGCAGCAACGTAGAATCGAGGCTGAGCGCGTTGCAGCGCTTGGCTGTACGAGCCCGAAAGGCCGGGGGAGCAAGCAGCAGCAGCAGTAATGGTGGGAGAAGCAGCAGCGGCGTCGATGTCGGATGCTTTGATGGCCACGGTAGCAGGAGCTGTCGATGATGAAGCGTGCTGGGCACCGCGTCGACTTCTCCGGTGTCGTCGTCGAGGCTTGTTGTGCTCCAAGCCGGCCCCACTGCGTCTCCACAAGGGCGCCTCTGCGCCCACCTGGGAACCAAACGACCCCGCCTCTCGACCACCACTGGATCGTCGCCGCCACGCAGTACCCTCTCCAGTTGCTGTACACCCGCTCTTCCCAACCACAGCAGTCGTCACTGAACTTGTCGTGGACGTGGTCGAGGTCGCGGTCGCAGCGGCTGGAAAAGGCACTCTGCGCCCGGACTGTTCCGCCACAACCATTGTTGTGGCCAGTTCAGAGAGAGAAGAGAAGGAGAGAGAACAGAAGAGAAGAGAAGAGAAAGAAGAGAGAAGAGAGAAGAAGAGAAGAGAGAAGAGAAAAGAGAGTAGAGAGAAGAGAGAAGAGAGAAGAGAGAAGAGAGAAGAGAGAAGAGAGAGAAGAGAGTAGAGAGAAGAGAGAAGAGAGAAGAGAGAAGAAGAGAGAAGAGAGAAGAGAGAGAGAAGAGAGAGAGAGAGAGAAGAGAGAGAAGAGAGAGAAGAGAGAAGAGCCAACTTTGGCTGATGAGTGATCACGTCGTTCACAACACACACAGCTTCTTCTGGAAAGAGCTGATCTTTCGTCTATCTAATGTCAGACGATATTATTGAGCCAATGTTGGCGCGGCCTTGGTCGGCTTAAATGGCAGAGAGGGACACGTTTGGACGGAAACCAAGTTGGCCGCTGTGTGCGCTGCGGGGTGCAATGCGCTGGTGGGTGGTTGTTTGATTGGGTCCTTGAGCGGCTGTGAATCATGGGAAGAAAAATGCTGATCGTTGCTGGGTGGTTCCAATTCTGTGGTTGATCGTTCACGCAAGCACAAGGTCTCGGGCTAGTGTGCGCTGGATCTCAAGTTATGCCAAAGTCCATCTGCGTGCATGAATGTAAATGGATGAGGAAGCAAACGCGCCGCTCAGCGGAGTCGAAAGCAGCCGAAATAAAAACAGGCCTAAGGCGAGGCGATAATAATGATAACATGGGTGGGTATATAGGCGACACAGGGCCGGCGTTACATGACCGCACAAGCTCGGGAGCGTTGGGGCGGGCCGTGACTGGTGCGCGGTTCCACGATCAAGCGGTCAGGTATGTGGGGATGTGCGGCGGTCCGGTCGTCGCTCAGGGAGTCGTCGAGGTGGATGGGGAGTCGGGGCATTGGAGTTGGCGGTGGGCGGCGACGTTGGGAGGCGTTGCGCGCTGGGCCCTCACTGTCTGGAAGTGGAGATACAAACCCCACGGTACCACTGCTGCGCTGGGGGTCAGCGCGAACAGGCGACAAGGGCATGTCGGTCGATTCAGGCAGGCTTGTGGGCCTGAGGTGGTTATCGCGGTCATGGTCTGGGTCATGTGCAGCTGTGGCAGGGCGACTGCTGTTGGGGGTGGTCACTTTTTGAAAGAGTTCCTCGTAGGCCACACTCATGCTAACGGGCCGGGTGCTGGTCAGGGGCGGGCTCAGGGGTTTGGTGCCCGAGCGCACAAGCTGGGACGTGTGGGGGCGGGGTGGGAGCTGAACGGCCGCGTCTGCGTAGGACGCGGAAGGGGGACCATGCCGGATATCAGGACGTGGTGTTTCACCCACGGCGAGACCATCGGGTCGGGTTGGACCAAAATCGCCCTCGTTGGCAGCGCCGTGGGAGCGCAGACGATGGCGCAGTTGGTCGTGTGTCTGCAGAGCGTTCCAGGCCATAAAGGTGGCTTGTTCCACGCGCTCCCGTAGCTCAGCGTCATCGAGGCGCAGCGCCATGCCCAAAACCTCCTGGTACAGGCGCAAGCTGCCATGAAGATCGCCGAGGTGAAACCGGACGGCTCCCATGTCTTCCAGGCAGCGAGCCGCGTGAAGGGGCCGGTTCAGCGTGGACAAGGACTCCCAAGCCACGTGGAGATGCTGCAGTGCTTCTTCAAATTGACTGAGATTGGCCTGATTTGGGAGGTGTGGGGGTGCATTTGGAAGTTGGTAAGCGCATGAGGGGGGGGAGGAGATGCGCGGACGCGCCGGTTGACTGAAGCAGATATTTCGCATGACCAATAGACGTGATGATACGAACCAGACCGGTGGCGAGGTTGCGGGCAACGTTGGCACGATCCATGGGGTCACTCTCCACCTCATCCGCTGGCAGCAGATCCCAGGCCAAGCGGGCATGTTCCACAGCCTCATCATACCGGTCTGTCCGCGGCGCAAGCCGGCGGCAAGAGAATGTGAGGAAAAGGAGAAAGCGACTCGGGAAAACACTCTGAGCAAGGCGTGGGTCGGTAGATCGGGTGGGTCCAGCGACGTACCCAGAAGCAAAAGAACAGCCGATATGTTATTGTGTAGCTGCGCCAGGTAAGTGGTGCCGGCCGGGGCGATGGAGCTGGCTGAGAGGAAGAGGCTGCGGGCCAGTTCGAGGTTGCGAAGCTTGTAGGCGGCTTGAGCCGCAAAGGCGTATGCCAGCGGGAGCTCGGAGATGTCAGCAGGCAAGTTTTGACCAGACTCCCACATGGTAAGTCGTGGCTGCAAGAGTTGCAGGACCTGATCGTATCGTTGGTGAGCGAGCAGGGCACCGGCGGCATTCACGGCGGCCAGCAGCACGCCGTCATCATCCTCGCTCCGCTCAAAGAGGCGCAAAGCCTGACGTTGAGCGACAATAGCATCCTAAACAAGCGTCAAGAAGCGAAAGGCAGCGCAACGATCAGCGAGAGTTTGCCCCAGTAGGCAGTGAGTGCGCCGAGTGGTAAGTGCGCCGAGTGGTAAGTGCGCCGGGTGGTAAGTGCGCCGGGTGGTGCGCACCTCGTGCCGTTCGAGCGCTGAATAGGCAATGCCTAGGTTAAAGTAGGCGTTGGCAAAGTCATCATAGGCTTGCTTGCGGCCGGTATTGACATCATCCAAAAGAGCCTCAAGCAAATCGATGGCTTCGTCAAAGCGTCCCGCCATCAGAAGAGCGGCCCCCAACGACACGATGGCCCGGGCCGTGAGTCGGTCACGTCGTGCCAGCAGCCGCTCCACGACGGCTGGCGGGGGCATCATGGTGCCGGATCGCTGGGTAAAAGAGAGGCCCTGCTGTGCCGTTTTTTTTTCTTTTTCAACAAGAAATAAGTGAGCTCGTTGTTGTCGCACCGTACCAACGCCCTGCCTGCAGATGGCAGGCGAGCAGAGGACAGCAAAGGCGTTTAGCAGGGTAGCCGGCGCGGAGGGCTAACCTCTGATTTTTGTTGTCCGCAGTTGGCGGGGTGGTTGGCAAGGGGTGACAACAGCCAAAATAAACAGCTATTCTCAACAACCTTAAATGATGCAGGAGGGCTTGCAAGCTCTTTTGGGGCAAAATTCGAATGTGTTTCACCATCAAAAACTTGATCAAAGCTTTTGTGATTATGCATGTACATGTGTCACCTTCGACGCTACGCTTTGCTTTATGTGTGTGTGTGATGAGGTGTAAAGGAGTGAGTGTGTAGTGTGAGTGTGTGTAGTGTAGTGAGTGTGTTGTGTGTAGTGTGAATGTATCGTACCAAGTACGTGTTAACATATGGCAGCGCCGGGTTGAGGGCGGCGCGGGAAGAGGCGACAGAGGGCACAGCAGAGAGCAAGTGCTGGTATCTGTGTAGTAGACGAGAAGCGGAAAAAAAGCCTCTCTTGCCGAACCCTCCTCACCGGGCACAGTGGTCTGCATCGCTTGTTGTTATGGGCCTCTGAGTGATTGAGAAAAAGGCTTTATGGGACCGACGTACTGTGATGAACGACAAATGCAACGGCAGTCAGGTTGTGGGGTCCTGGAAAACCGTTAAGCTTTCAACAGGAAGGGAAAGGTTAGCTTGGAGATGCCGCTTTCTTGAGGTTGCCTCACCCTGCTGGGTCGCTGCCGTTTCGGCCTTTTGTCGGCGCAATGTATTTCTGCTTGTATCTCGATGCGTTTGTTGAAACGCTAACGTGCTTTCACCCTTTCCCTCATTGGACGACGATTTCTTCAACTAACAACCAAACAAGCTTTTTTTTTAATTGCCAACGGCAGCGCATGTCCCGCGCACTGTTCACAGGCCGCGCACATACACACACACACACACACACACACACACACACACACACACACACACACACACAGAGAGACACAAACAGACACACAAATATACACATGCACCAGCGATCTGCCTGTTTACCGCCTGACCTGCCCGCCGAACCCTGTCCATTACCCCGGCCCCAACGCCGATCCAGTTGATAGTTGTTACGGCTCGAAACCGTTGCTGCGCTGTTAGAGAGAGAGAGAGTAGTTGCTATTGTCATTTCCCTTTACAAAGCTTACTGCTTGAAACGTCAGAGCTGTTGTGTTAAAGAGAACGCGTCATTCGTGTGTGAGTGGGCACTCTCTCTCTCTGCTTGTGTGACCGCTTTGACCTCTCTCTCTTCTCTTCCTCTAAAATTACACGTCTCTGTCTCTCTTTTGCTTTCTTACAGTGACAACTCTCTGGCTCTGGGTTTGCTGTTTTTCTCTCTCTCTGCGCTCGCTCGCCGACGAGTCAACACGCTCGGCACGACCGACCGGGTGTCAGGGCCAGCTTCACAGTCATTAGTGACACTGGCGACCTCAGGGAGATAGAGGGTCTAGTCCATCTCCCTCCCTCCCTCTCGCTCGCCGCCGCTCTGTGCCCCAATTCCCCTTTGAACACTCTTGGTCAGCTTGATCAAAGCCGTTTTTGGTCAAATCTCTCTCTCTCTCTGTCTCTCTCTCTCTCTCTCTCTCTCTCTCTCTCTCTCTCTCTCTCTCTCTCTCTCTCGACGGCCTTGGTCAGTCTTGCGCCCGCATCGTCCCCCGCTTCCCTCCTCCTCCCCCTTCCCCTCTCCCCCTCTCCCCTTGCCTCTGGCTTGTCAAGCGTCAATTCTCTTGGCTTTTTTGGAGCTGGTTGGTTGAACAGCGGCTGTGCGCTCGAGTGGTGCTTTCCCCCGTTGCCGCTGGTCATGCCCCCGCGGGCGACGGGCGCCACATCGGCGACAAGTCGCCGTGGTCGCGACCTGGCAGCCCGCCTCGACCTTTTAAAACAACACATGAGCCCCGGGCTGCGCTTCAGCCTGAGCGCCTCGCTCGATAACATTGCACACCTGGACCTCGACCTCTTGCCCTCTCCATCATCGTCATCATCATCATCATCACTGACCGCTCCGGCCCCCCCGGTCGCTGCTTCTTCATCGTCCGCCGCCGCTGCTCCGGCCACCTTGCCTCTCGGTGCCACTGACCATGAAAGCACCAACGCCAGCACAACCTCAACCTCTCAACCCAGCGTTGTCGTTGGCTTGCGCCAACGCGTGCGTGCTCACCTCGCCGACCCCGGTGCTCTGAACCGCGGCCCTCCGGTCGTGTTCAAGTGCCCAGCCCCCAACTGTGAACGGGTCTACCGCACCCGCGGCGGTTGGTGCCGACACGTCTCCTCTGTCCATCGGCGACAAGTCATGGCCAAGGATGCCGTCCCCTCCTTTGAAAAGGGAGGCCAGCCCTGTACCCGCCCACGTCTCTCCTGGCAACATTACTCCCACTCCTGGACCCCGGCCGCCCCCATGCCTGCCGCCTGCTCAGATCCGTGCGCGGCACCCAGTCCGGCGACAAGCGACACTGATCTTGGCTACGCCGGGAGCCCCGTTTCCACCGTATCCGACGCCCCTGCTCACGCTTCCTCCACCCCAAACACATCCCATCCCGCCACCAGCCTCGCTGACGTGCGCCATCATCAACGCCCTGGCAACCTCGAAGACCCGGACCACCCATCCCCTCGCCCGATCCAGGCCCACCCCCGCAAAGACCATCCCTGCAGTGCCCGCGTCACTGGCTCGCTTGCCAGCGTCCTCCCACTGTATCCTTTGGAAGACGAGCTTGTCCTAGCCCAGTGCCCGCACTGTGCTCGTCACCTGTCCGCCCAGCGCCTCGTGCGCCATCTCTATGATTGCTCCCACGCCTCGGTCTCCACCTCCACCTCCCCTTCCAACAACACCCCCACATCCACATCGGCACACGCTGGTACTGCCCTCTCAAAATGGCGCCTTCGCCACCGCACTGGCCCCAACCCCAGTCCCGCCGCCTCCCATCTGCGATACGCCCTACCCCACGCCATGCTTCAACACCCCTTGTCCCTGGCCGCCACCCAACACAACGCCCGCTGCCTCAGCGCCACCAGCCACCACACGTTGACGGAGGATCGTGAAGACTCGAGTGATGCTTGGGATAATTCCTCCGACGTCGATACTCTCGAACGCAGCAGCACCGACTCGGGCATCGAAGGCGAGTCAGCCCGCGAACTCCCTGCGTCTCCCACCACCACTGCCCTCAAACCCAACAGTACCAACGCCGGCGGTCACCACTCCACCACCAAGGACAGCGGTAGCGGCAGCACCAATGATATCAGCATTGCCAACCCCCCAGCTCCCTCCTCATCCAAGTCTAACGTTCTCAAGGCCGCAGCGGCTTCTCAGGCCTCCGTTGCCAAGGCGGCCCCCAGCAATGCAACTGCCTCCACTTCCGGCATGCCAATCCTTCCAATCCCGAGTCTAGCGCCCCGCACACAGGCCAAGCGCAACTCGGACTCAACGCACCAGTCTCACGAGCCCTCCAAAAGCCCCAAAAAATCAAGCACAACGGCCCCTTCCGCTTGTCCAGCCACTGCCAAGCCTGATGCCGGCGCCCAGAGCACGCCAACCTCCCGCGCCACAGGCCCCTCAGTAGCTCCGGGCAAGCCCACTGGCGCAAAGGCCACCCCCATCCCCAAAGCACCAAAGGCCGCCCGCAGGCCGGCCAAGCCCCGGGCACCCCGGGCACCCCGGGCACCTCGCGGCTCGGGCAAAGCCAAGACCAAGGGCACCAGCAGCAAGACCTCGGCCCTACCCCCCTCCAGCGCTGGCCTCACCGTCACCGCCGCTGGCACCTCGCCCTATGGTGCCCTGCCCTACGCCCTCCCACAGTACTGCTATGGGGTCCCTGCTGGATACTACACGACAAACTCGGCCCGGCTCTGCGTCCACGCTCCCCCCTCCTTCAAATACACCACGCCCGTCAATGGTTATGTCCGTCCTACCACGCTCATCACCTCGGGTGGGGCCACGTGGACCTACCCCAGTCCCATGGGCCTGGTCAGCCCTGGTACAGTCCTCACCCCCAGCATGGCTGCCAGCGAGGTCCCGGACCTTGTCCACGTGTCCCAGTTGACCACCTTCCTCAACCGGTGCTACGCTCCGTCGTATGTGCTGCCTGGTGTACCAGTGGGCACTCGCTTAGTGGCGTCAGCTCCACTGACGGCCACTGCCACGTCCTCGGTCCCCGTGATCCCCACCGCGGCCGTGACAGCTTCATCCCCCACCAAGGCCGGGGCAGCTAGCACCATCGTGGCAGCCTCTTAACCCACCGGGCGCTCATGACTGTGTGCGACACACTGCTTGTTTCCAGGCATTACTCTTGCTTTGTTTGTCTCTGCTGTGTTTCTTGGTTTGTCAAATCCCCTCTTTATAAGAATCGCCCCATCTTATTTATTTCTGCAGCATGAATGGTTAGACTCACCAAGTCAGTCGACCGAAGCGCTCCTTCGGCTTTATTTTTTTGCCTTATGACCAATACTGTTTCGTTTTTTTGTGAGCGACACACGGTGACGAGCTATAAGGCTCGCGCCACTTGCCGTGTCCTCTGACTGCCATTCCTTGAACGAATTTTTATTTTCCCTTATCATTCTCTTCCTTTTGGGATCCTGAAATCGATCTTTTAAGCTCCTATCCTGCTTATGTTTTGTGCACACCAAAGTTGTATGCTAGAGAGACGTCACTTGCAATTATGGGTGCTGGTCTTGTACATACAAACATATTTGTGAAGGCCTCAAGACAACAAGAGGAAGGCAACCGTCGCCAGCTGAATCAAGAGCCACGTGGCACTCTCGGGGAGCATGCTACCGGAGGTTGTGCTGGCTGCTGCGAGCGTGGTCCCGCCACTCAGCGTGGGGGCGTGGTAGCCATGGCATTGCAAAGACAAAACGGGTTTAGCGCCTCCAAAGAGGGACTTCCACTTGGGATTGTTGTCTACGGCAGAGAAAAATGATGTGAGCGATGGCATGGGCAAGCGCTGTTTCCCATGCGACCCGATGCCTACGGAGATGGCCTTTTTAGGGTCACGAGCTTTGCCCTTGCTATCGAGACATCTCGTGCGCGAGACACGAACCAATGCCAAAGGTTTCGCCGTCGATGCATTCGTTGGCGTTGAAGGTGTGGGTGGTGGCGGTGCCACCACAGCCGGAGGCGTTGAAGAGGGACAGGGTAACGCGGTCGTTGAGGCAAGTGGCTTCGATTGTGGCGTATTCGGGAAGGTAGCGCTTGTTGCTGGGGCAAGAACTAGCACTGCCGCACACCCGGGCGTAGTCAATGCCAAAGGCGCGTTCAAAGAAGCTGAGGCTACATGTTTCTTCCACCAGGGGCATTATTCCCATGGGTGTGGCACTGCAGTCATCTGGGTGAATCAAGAGAAGAACCTGGTGGTCGCTCGAGAGGTGGTCACAATACATGGGACAGTCGTCGGCATCAATGTGAATGAGATCACGGGGCTGGGTGCACTCCGTGTCGTCAAATATTTGGGCACTGATGCTGCCATCTGCATTGCAATAAGCTTGCCAATGATTGTCTTCGACGTACATGCATGCTCCTTGTGGGGCTAGCATCGAGGCTGCACGTGCGGTGGTGGAGCACACGCCAGTCGTGGCGATAACACCTTGGTTCAGGGGACGCACTCCCGTGGGGAAGGCGGTGGTCGTGGAGGGGGTCGTGCTGGCAGCCGGTGTTGCTGACGTGGTCTGGGTGGAGCTTGCGCTGGCGGCAGATGAAGCTTCGGTCTCGTGCATCCAGAGAATGGCGAGCAGTAGAATGCCGAGCATGCCGACCCTCCCTACGGCAATAAGAAAAAACAAAGCAGTGCGCGACATGGCCAGAGTGACAAAAATGCTGTTGGGCCTCCTTGTTCGTCAGCAGGTACACGGTCAGCATCCCGGGACCACGCACCATAAGCAGCCATGGCCATTTTGCATCGGTGGCAACCAAGCCGAATTCAGGACGGCCTCTGTGTCTGTGGGGGTTTAAGGGTGTCGTCGTTGTCGTTGTGAAGAAAAATGCAGCTGGGAGGAGCAACATCGGCGAATGATGGTGCCGTGTCTCAAAGCCAATGGCCTGGGAATCTGGTGCGTATACGCGGGGAGCGCTGACGTGGATCGTGTTCAAGGTTGACTGTGGTGCAGAAGCAGCACAACTGACGCGAGCGACTCAATCTAAAAGCCTCGGAACTTGTGGTACCCAAGGGAAGACGATGAGTCACGCTGTGTGATGCCCCTCGGTGGTGGTGGTGGTGGTGGTGAGACATCCTGTCGATGACCCGTGCGTGCTCGAGTCGTGATACCCAGACACGATCAAAATAAAATTGCAAACTCCACCCCAAATGAGTTTATTTATCATGTCAACATGAATGAATATGCAAAGGAACAGAAATGAGTTCGGTGACGAGAAAATGCTGAGAGACTGATACATGTACGTCAGCCTTTTCCATCTCTGTTGCGGACAGAGTCTTCGCGCTCCTATAGGAACTCAATCGTAGCTCGTAGCATGGTTGTGAGCTAAGCACCAGGTGAACGTCGTTGGCCTTTTTAGCTCTCCCTCTCCCTCTCCCTCTCTCTGCTTCTCCTGCACAACGTCACGCGTCTTGGTCGGACAGCTCGGCTCGGTCTGGCGTCCGCAGCTGTCGGTGACTATTGTCGTCGCCCACGGGGACGAAAACCGCTCTCGATGGACCTCTTTAAGTTCCCAACGCCCTCCGCAAACACAACACAGCCCTGCAAAGCCTGGCGCGTACATGTATATGCTGTCGTGCCTCATGGTCTCTTTTACATCCCCGGTGATCGCGAGGACATGTGTGTGTGTGTGTGTGTGTGTGTGTGTGTGTGTGTGTGTGTGTGTGTGTGTGTGTGTGTGTGTGTGTGTGTGTGTGTGTGTGTGTGTGTGTGTGTGTGTGTGTGTGTGTGTGTGCATGCGATTCATGCGCTTTGTTCTTTTTTTTTCTTTTCTTTTTTCTCTTTTTTTTTCTTTTTTCTCTTTTTTTCTCTTTTTTTTTTTTTTTTTTGTTTCAAAGTTAGAACGATTTTTTTTAGTTCTCTCTCTCTCTCTCTCTCTCAAACTCTCTCTCTGTCTCTCTCTCGGGCCATGACAAGGAATGGCGTTGTCGCCGCCCACTACTCCACAGCTGGCGGCCGCTGGTGTGAACGAGTTTGATCGCCTGCACAAATGGCTTAACACGCACCGTATCCTCTTTCAGGTGCGCGTACCTCCCGTCGTGCCCGTGCCCGTGCCCAACCGAATCAGCGCCCGCCACGTGCAGCTCATGCCCTCTCTGCCGTGTCGGCCGGCCCCAGAATGAAGTGAGCGTTTTGCATTTGCCTTGCAGCCACCAGGAACGAGACACGCTTTTCTTCGTGCACGACTTTGGCGGCCAGGTACAACCCGCCCTGGCTTCTTGTTGTGCACCCTCCCCGTCGTGCCTCCTCTCCCCATATATATATATATATTTTTCCTCCTCCTGTTTCCTCTCTCTCTCTTCTTTCTCACACCTCACCGTCTTGATCGTGATCCTGCCGCTGTCCGCACGCGATGCCTCTCTCTCAAACACGACCTATCAAGGCGCTGCAATGGGCCAAGCAGCTCCTCTTTTTTCATGAGCGCGTCCATCTCGTGGCCATCGATCTGCCCGGACATGGTCACAGCCCCGCACCTGACTCGGCTAGCCGTTACACCGCTGTCGATATCGTCGGGACCTTGCGACGCGTCTTTCACCACTTTAGCACTGCGCGCAACGTCCTCATTGGCCACAGCTACGGCACCAGTCTCGTCGTCCAACTTTATCAAAGTCTCCCGACCTCGTTTCAATCTCAAGTCGTGGGCCTTGTCTGCTGCAACGCCGTGACCCAAGGTCAGGCTTTGTCCTCCATGCTCTTGCCATCACGGCCTGAATGGACAACCAAAACGTCATCCAGAGTTCTTTCTGCTCACCGTGCCCCCCCCCTCCCCCCCTGTTGTTCTCGCTGGCCCCAGATGCCTCATGCTTGCTGCAGGCGAGCATGCGGGCGCTGTCCCTCGTGCCTACCCCAGTACTTGGCCTGATTCGCCGATGGCAAGCGCGCAGAGGAAGTGAATCGCAAAGCGTCGCCCGCATGGTAGCAGCCGACGCTACAAACGAGGTAAACACGGACGGCCATGGCTCGACCATATATCAGCAGGTCTTTGCTCAATCCAGCTGTGGCCCTCGTTGTTGCTTCTTTCAAACAACAGACCAAGGTGATGCAGCTGCATTGGAATACGTGGACACCCACACACGTGTTACAAGCCATGGCGGCAGGACTGCAGGTCGTCTCGTTGGCCGACTATGCCCGCGTGACAATCCCCGTACTTTTGCTCGCCGGTCAGCATATGCATGCATTGCCCGCCTCTACCCTTCCCACACGCGCGCACGCACGCACTCACAGGCGTCTTTTTCTCCCTGGACTCTCAGGCGCTGAAGACACGGTCGTGCCTCCCGAACACACGTACAGCATATATGACACCGTCCCCCGCGTGCATGGTCCACACATCGCGCCCAACGCTAAACACAATCTTATTGAAGAGGCCAGCGAGCTCGTCAACGCGCTCCTCACCACTTTTCTGATCAAAAAGGGCAAAATGTCCTATCTCGAGTGCGTGCAGACTGCCACGGATGGAACAACGCCGCAGGTGCGGTTGCGCACAACTCACCGCGTGTCTGTTCGCGCGCAACCTTAGGGTGAGTGGCGAAGAAGCCGAACTTGACGATGAAGCGCCCGACGGCAAATGGGCTCTCAAAAACCACGCCAAGTGGAAGGTATGCGGTTGTCAAAGCCCTGCGCGAATTGTTGAGCAACACGATGACTATGTTTGGGCGGCGTTGCCTTACTGCTCTTCTTTTTGTCCTCTCTCTCAGACCACACCACCCTCAAGCAAAGTATTGGGTGCCAACAGCAAGCTTGGCGGCCTTATTGTCTGCAAGACGTTCCGTCAAGACGACAAGGACCATGGACCAAAGGCTTTTAAGGTCTGTCCCTTTTCTTTTGTTTGCATTCAACCGCCTTGGGCCATGCTGCTGCATCGGGGGGGAAAGCCAACTCACAAAGGGCATGCCTCATTTTTGTTGGTAGACCAAGTTTACCAACGTGGGATTGGTAATTGATGTGTCCCGTGAACCACCACCATACCTCACCAATGCTCCCGATGTGCCACCATACGTCAAAATCGCGACCGTTTCCAAGGTTTGTTTCGTATCACCACCGTTGACAAGGTTTGCTCAATTCAGGCCCCTGTGCCCTGGCCGTGCATTGACTCGGCTCTCCTACGCTGTGCCCCTGTCTCTTGCTTCCTCCAGCGCGAGCCCGAGGCTGAGAGTGTGGCCAAGCTACACAAAGTGCTGGACAACTTTTGGGCCAATCCCGACAATGCGCGCAAGGATGTCATCATCCATTGCCATTATGGCTTCAATCGCTCAGGGTAGGCATGCATCGGCATTGACCTTTGAGGCACTCGTCATTTTGGTTGCACCTTGCCATGCTGATCAGCGGCTCGTGTTTCGTCGCTTAGATTTATGGCCTGCAGCTATCTCGTCAAGCGGCGAGGCTTTGGCGCCCGCGAAGCCCTACATGCATTTCGTAAAGCCCGCCCTCCTGGCATCAAGCATGAACATTTTCGTGCTGAATTTCTCCGTCGCTACGCCTCGGTCAACTCGAGCTGACAGCATTTGTCTTTGAACTTTTCTTCGTCCGCAGAGCATGTGAAACAGTCTGCAGGGCCGTGCTCTCGGTTGAATCGTGGTTACCTTGGTGCGCGGGCGGCATCGCGCGTCAGCGACGGAGCGGTGCCGTCATTGAAATATGTTCCAAGTCGTTGTTTGTGTCTGAGTCTGTGTTTGGGCTTCTTTTTCTTCTCCTTATCTGTTGCGTGACACCCAAGTTGGTGAGCTTCTCATCATGCTATCCCGTCCCCCCACCCTCTTTTTTTTTTTAATCCTTGCCGAAAGATTTGTTTGTTTCTTCGTTTCTGTTTCTCGCTTGGTTTGGTTGAGCTTGGTTGTTTGTTTTCTCTCTCTTTGATCGTCTGTTCTTGCTTGAAACTCATGTTCTCAGTGCTGAATTTTTCTTCTTCTACCGTGCGTTGTGCCCTGTTTCCGGACAACTTGAGTCGAGCTCAAAGCTGAAGCTTTGGTTAAAACTAAATTGAAGACTAACTTTTGCCAGGCAGGCATCTGACTCATCTCTAAACACACAAAATAAAATATAAAGGTTGTCTGTTCTCATGCAACATCATCTCAGATACCATGGACGAAAAACTCGACGGCGGCTCCATGAAACACGACTCGTGCAGCCGTAAGTTCAAGGTGCGTTGCATTCAAGGCGTTGAGACGAGCCACCCGGACAGGATCAAAGTCATACTCGGCCATGGTGAGAAGGCGGGGCATGCCCCAGATGATGATGCGACCCAGATCAGAAGTTGCACAAAGTGAAAGGGTGGCGTTGGCGGTGGTCCCGACAGCCACATGTCCACCGTTGCACGTTTGGACATCGCTTGATAATTGCAATTCCATGGGCACGAGGACGTGCGGTGCCCGCAATACCAAATCACCCGCATCGGTGGTGAAAATCATGGGGATATCCGGCCAGACCACGGCCGTCCCATCCACTGCTCCTGCGGGTCGAATGTCCTCCGCGCGCAACGTCATGTTGTACGTAACAGCCGAACCAATGCGAATGGGGACGCAGGTGGGTGGGACGGGCCAGGAGCCGTCGCTTTGGCACTGACGGGCTCCTGTCTCACCAGTAGCAAATTCCATCAAAGGTTCGCAGCCATACTGCACGATATCAAAGGCAGAATAATTTTGAGCTTGATCCACTACCATGCTATATGGCCCCGCGGGTGGTTCATCACACTTGATGGGCGTGCACATGGCCATGCCCTCTTCCAGTGCCTCAGTCCCGGCATCGCACGGCGTGCAGGTGGAGAGCCGGTGATTCTTCGAGGATTGATGCTGATTGATAGGACACAACTAAGATCCAGAGGCAAACAGGCAGGTGTGCAGTCAGTGAGAGATACAAATGCTCAGAGGCCGAGCGAGAGATAGCAAGGCATACGTGACAAGATAGGCCCTCTGTGCTGCTGCATTCGTAGAAGGTACCCGCTGGGCAGATGCCACAATTGAGGCACGCTTCTGCTCGGTGGCTAGTGGCGGTTTGATACTGATGCGCGGGACAGGACTCGCAAGTGCCACCTGAACTCAAACCACAGCCTTGCTGACGCTGCCCGGCACCACACACTTTGCCGTCTGTGTTGCAGGCTAGACAGAACTTGCTGGCTGATGCCGGTTGAAAAGTTGCCTATTTGCATACATCACGCAATTGGAGTGCGCTGTGAGAAACCGATGCCAACAAGACCAGTTAGCTCAAGAACCGAAACGTTGCAGTACCGCTTCACAAAAGGTGCAGGAGGGAGCTGTATTCAGTGCATCCGTGTATGTGCCCGGAGGACAGGCTAAAATTAGTATGTGAATCGATGATAATGTGAGCATGAAGCAACTGAAGAGAACCAGGTCCAAGCACAGAGCATGCCTGACCTTGACAACCATTGATGGCGATATCGTTGGTTGGAGCACAGAAGCCAGCTGGGCAGTAGCACGAGGTGCAGCTGGCTTTTTGACAGCCCTGCGTGCAGCTGTAACAACGAGTGGGGTCGCAATCGCCATCACAATTGGTCGGCAACATCAACACTTGATCACAACTACTATCACAACCCTGATCGATGTGCATCGATGTGAGACATTGGTGAGCTGCCAGACACTTGACGAGCAACCGGGCAAGGGTCACCAAAGATGCATCGGCTCACCAAGGCATCGCATTCCGAGCCAGATTGGCAATTCTGGGTGCACTGCGTCAGCATGCAGCCGTTACAAACAGCCTGTTTGCTGACCCCGGGCGGGACCCACGGAGCATCACGAGTGACACGGGCCAGTTGTTGAGCAAGAGTAGCATGGGTGGTCGCCGTTGAACCTGCTTCACGTCGTTGCTTGTTGGAATTTGAGACTCGAACTGCCTGTTCAATGCGGGTCATGACAGCATGGCAGTCACTGAGCTCATCCAAGGCCAACTGCTGCTCCTGGGAGCTCCACCAGGCCAACGCCTGGGTTTGTTGAAAAGCTTGCTGGAGAGTGAAAGGCTCGGGGCCTTGCACCAGTGCGGACAGTCGTTGGCACACCACGTCGGCACGAGTGAGTGGCTCGTAGGCTATTTGTAACCAAGGAAGAGCCAGATCTGAGGCAAGAAGGTAGCGTAGAGCGAGCTGCACGGGAGCACACAGGGGCGAGCCTTGCATTGATTCGACATCCGGATGGGCAGATGCATGGGGCGTGGCAGGAGTGACACACGCTGCCGTTGCCAGGAGATGGTGCCACGTAGCACCTTCTCGATCAAGTGAGTAGGTGAGATGGATTGAAGTCGTTTCATCGGCGTGCGGGGCATCGGCAACGTGAATCACGGCCTTGGGTAAGTATAGAACGTCCCCCGGCTCCATCCAGAGGCTCTGGCAGTGAAACCGTGTCAAGTCGCTTTCGGGCCAATTCAAACAGCCTGCAGACAGAAGCGACAGGCGTCAGAGGAGATGCAACGCAATAATGCAAGGGCCAACGCGGGTCATGTGGTCATGTGGTTGGTGGAAGGCTACGCACCATGAGTGGTCCCAAGCTGGAGTTCATAGAGCTGGGCAAGCTGAGCGCGAGAGGCGGTGGGCCATGTGGAGCTCTCGTTCAGACCAGTGCAGAGGCGCCAGCGCTTGCGCCCGGCAAGCTGAACGACAATGACATCGTAGGGATCGGTATGGGGTTGAAGGGCGCGTGCTCCTGGGGCGGAGAGGTACGCATGGGCGGTGGTAGACGCTGATCCGAAAACGGCCTGGAGAGTCGTCTCCAACACACTGTAGTTTTGGGCATCGAGTTGTTCACGGCGAAACACAAGAGAGAGGTGGTCGCGGCGAAGGCGTGGTGCTAGGAGCGACCAGTTGCTGAGGATGGGGGCGGGAACGGAGGTGATTTGTCCTTGGGCGTCGCGGACAGTGAGGGCATTGGCCTGAACCAGCTGCGGAAGCTCGGCCGCGAGCCAAGTGTCGGCAGCCCTGTGCAGGTGATCCAGCCATGGATCAGCGGCGGCTAGGCGAGGATCAAGGTCGTTCTGGGCTGCTGGAATGTGAAGCCAATCATTTCGGTAGAAGCGGTGCAAAAATTGATCGATGGTGACGCTTGGTGCCCAAAGCGCTTCAAATAGAGCGTGTTGATCCGAGTTGACTGGAGACCGCGAGGTGTCGGGACGCAAGGGGTGCGTCTTGATGTGCAGAGACGGAAAGGCGGGGACCAAGAAAAGAAGCACGAAGAGGCAAGACCAGCCGCCGTGGCCACCCATCAGACCCAACTGCAATCCAGTGCTCACGCGTCTCCCCATGACCCCGGCCGGAAATGCAGGTCGGGGCCAAATATGATTTTCCGCTCCAAGCCAACGCTTGAGAAAACAACGCTGCCTGATTGCGGATCTTGGTAGACTTGAAATGGCTTTGGAAGCAGCGCAGAAAGAGCTTGTGTGAGGGAAAAGGGGAGCCGTCTGGGGGGAAAGAAGTAAGGAGATAAGCTGGTGCCAGAGAAATTGAGAGGCAGCAGAAGACCAGCCGGCCGGCAGCCACTGGAGTGGCGTCGAGGTAGAGAAAAAACGGATCGTCAAGCAGGTCAGAAAGGTCGAGGACGAGTCTAGCACTGCATGAACGTTGCGTAGCCGCTGGGAGATCCAAGATGAAGGAGGAGGAGGAGGAGGAGGAGGAGGAAGAGGACGCAGCTGGTCTGTCGAGAAGGAATCAGCGGCAAATGAGAGACGGAGGGGTCACGTAACAGACGATTGAGCGATCAGAGAGGAGCGTTCCGAAAGAGGAGCCAAGGGGCGGGGGGGGGGGGGGGTT